GCCTGCATTGAAAACCAGAGAATAACTCATGAAACCCATGTATCAACACATGCAGAAAAAGTAATCACAGTATAGAAATGAAATTATCATGAAATTAGCTAGCTGTAGAACATAAATAAAGGTACTGACACTTTTTTGCAGTCTTCTGTAGCAAATGTCTTTGGAGAACTCACCAAGCTTGGACTGTACCTGCTGGCTCCTGTGATTTATTTCAACATTTTCTCTCATAGGCAGGTTGTTTGCAAAGTCCTTCAAGTATCATTGAGACAAATCAGGAAACACAGCTAATTCTTCAAGAGAAGAATATGATCATGGAAAGACATTTCTTATATAGAATACCTGCATGTGTCAGTGAAGCCTCCAGAACAGTGTCTTGTTGTATTTATTAATCCATTGCCACAGAGATTACTGCAATCTGACTCAGAGCCCTAATTAATTTTTGGCACGTTTAGAAATTGTGACTGTCGTTACCCAGGGAGCCTCTTAAATCAACCCCCCTTTTACTGCAGTTGCCTTTTTATGTTGTATATCACATTCAGAAATGGATTACATGATCCTTCGCTTTAACTATCTTGCATTAGTTGATCGTGTTCTATGGATATGTATTGCACAGTTTATGAATCATAAGGGAGCTAGGATATGAATGACAGATAATTTAAACATGAAATTGGTGATGTCTGGGACCTGGTAGGAATAGAGGCAGAGAAATACAGGCAGAAGTCAAAGCAACGAGATGGAAAAGTCAGATAATTATGACAAGCTTAAAATGAACTTGTTAATGAAGTGTAGTATTTAGAAAGAGTGCTATCTCATTATTCAAGGAGGTGATTTTTTTTCATACTACTCTTTGATCTTCTTATTGCTTCTTCTTCCCTTTTACTATCGGATATCCACTTTACAAGTGGATATTTCGGGACAATGGTGATTTAGTTCTATGAAGTCATACTCTGCATCTAAGATGAGTGAAGATCACAAATTTAACTTGGCCAATAAGTAGACATACAGTGTGAATCAGTAGCTACAGGGTTTGGCTAATGTCTTGTTATCAGCTTGCTTTGGGAGCTGGGTTACATTATTCAATGTGTTAGTAGCTCCATTTCCTCACCTATGAAAAAGGAGAATAATAACTAATCTTTGTAATTCATGACGTAAGAGCCAAATAAGATCTTATATGTTGCTCTACCTAAAACATTTGGAAGGCAAGAGACAGACAGCCACAAGGATACCTGGAGTAAAAGGGTATTTGTTTTCAGGTTAGACATAGGAATAGAAATTGCAAAGACCCTTCCTTGAGACAGCCAAAGCTCATCTCTCATTCAAAGGCCATGTGATCTTACACTCTTGGCATCTTTCATTCTCTCTGCAAGTTGGTTCCATGCCTCTCCTTCAAACCGTGGCATCCCAGTGAGGTCCTCCCACATGTGGCCCACAGTAGTCACTCTAGACTTGAATCTGTCTTGGGACCTTTCAGCTCAGCTACTATAGAAAGCCACCTTGCCTCCTTACCGTTCTTTAGATATGTCATGCTCATTTGCACATCAGGGCCTTTGCATTTTCACTTCTTCAAATGTTCTGCTCCCAACTCTTTGTGCCTGGCTTCCTCCTTCACAGCATTTCAATTTCTGTTCAAATCTCATCCTTTTAAAGGGTTTCCCTGATCACTCCACTTAATATTACAACATCTGGTACTCTTTTCCCCTTATTTACTTTTATTTTCTTAGTACTACCTATTATTCTCTGGCATATATTTATTTTTTGTCTATTTCATTCACTAGAAATCAGGTCAATGAGGTCTGGAATTTTGTTGTTGTTGTTTTTGCTTTACTGTGATATATCCTTTGCTTAGAAAACTCCCTCCCACCTAAGAAGTACTAAATAAATATTGATGAATTGTATATATTGTGAATAAGTGAATGAATGTCTTATTGCCCAAGATTTGTAATTCTAAATTTTTAAGATAATTTTTAATGGATGCATTTCATAATTTTCAGAAAGACTGTTTTATCAATTTCTGCTAGCTTATAAGTAAGTTTCTATTCATGTGTCAGCTGCTCACCCCATGGTCTAATCAGGTGGAGTTGAGATGGAGCCATTTCCCATAGTACTGAGCACAGGCACTTAGAGCATGGGCACTAAGGGAGGCAGATACTTTAAGGTAGGGCTTGGATGGTGCAATCCTGATGGCACCTTGAGTCTCTTGGAGGACCAGCTTAGCTCCATCTTCCTGCGGCTAAAAATCTCAAGGTTGAAACTAGGTCAGCTCCTACAAGTACTAGCTCTCTGGCCTTAATTGTAATTTTCCTTAAACTTTTTATTTACTCTGCATTTTATATTGAGTTTCCATGAGTAACTAATAACAGTGGTAGTTAATATTTTTGAGTATTCCTAATGAGTCCAACACTTTATGGGCATATTTATGAAGTTTACTTAACTCCTGGGCTTCTCATAACCATATTCTAGGGTAGATAATACGATTCACTTCATTTTGCAGATGAAGAAGTATGAGAATAGAGAGAAAATAAGTTGCCTCAGGTCACTTGGTGAGTAAATAATACAGCCAGAATTTGTACCCAGTAAGTCTGGCTCTACAGCTTTATTTAACAAGGTGATTTTAATCCACTCATTCCACTGTGGGACTTTGCAAGAAGCTTGCATTTTCTTAGAAGAAATATTCTGATGATGTGATACATATAAATATGATTTCAATACTGTAGTATCACATGCAAGCTATCCTCATTAAACGAACATCTAAAATACATTAAATATACATTCAGGTCTGTGCAGTTTCACAGACTTAAGATCTAGTATTCCCTATAGCATTTGCATCTCTTTTTATGGATGTGCATTAGAAATTACTTAATTTTTATGGCCCAAAGTGGTAGCTTTTTAAATTAAGAAAGTCATCAATTTTTATAATAAGCAAATATCAAGCCCTAAAATGCTGTGCTCCACATCATGCTTTCTCTTTGGATTTTGGCAATATGCCCTAATAATATGTAAAAAAAGTGTCTGAAAGAGTCCTCAATAAGTTAAAGTTTACACTCATGCTAATGGCAACACATAATTTTGTTGGGTTCTTGAGCTCTCTTTATAATATGGATGCACAAGGTATAAGATAATATGAATGCACAAGGTATAAGATAAATGCTTGAGAAGGAAAGAATTCATTGATCCCCCTTTACTTAGCATTTACCATACACAAGACACCATGTTAAACACTGAGAGATCCACGACGATACATAAAACAACATTCCAAATTCACACTGAGCACTTTTTTCTGAAACACAAGAATAAACCTGGAAAGTCAATACGTGACTGCCCCAAATTTTGGCAATGTCATGCAGTGCAAGAAGAAACCAGGGATAAGTCCATCCCTTGAACTTATATAGCTTCTCATTGCTAACTAGTAGGTTTACATGGGAATTTCTCTCTTCAAAAAGGTGGGTGTTTCAATTGCATTAAAATTAAACAAGTGAGAATTTATTTATCCTGTATACTAAGGGTTTAATAAGGATGAGAAAAAGGCTATATTTACAAACACCAATCTATGGACTGCAATTTTTTTGTCTCTTTAAGTAGCATTGTTAGTTCTATTTTTGTTTTTGCACATGTGCTTTTTACAAAAGACTCTGTAAAGTCTTGATTTCCATCCTTCTGGTGAAGTTGTTCAAGATCTTCATGGCCCCATGCCTATCGGTCATGTGTGCCTCACAGATTTCCTTTGTCAGTAGTACATATCAGTATGATTAATGGTTAAGTGTTCATATTCAGGAATCTGATTGGATAACTGTCATTTCATTTGTTGAAATTTATAATTCAAAAAGCATTGATGAAGTTGTCCAAACAAAGAAAGCAATACAAGTTTTACTTATTATAAACGACAAAGCTTGATAATTTATTAGTGTAAATAGGCTCTCTATGCCAGTGTATTCCCTGGGGATAACTAGGTGATTGAGAGGGGTCATTTAACTTTTTAAAATGATTATACTGCAGCATTAAGTAGAAGCCATTACATCAAAGAATGAGTATCAGACTGGGTTGAAGGCTTCCTCACTGGCACAATGAGCTGTTTAGTAAAACCTACTTTTGTTCTGTTTCTGATAGGGAGTAGTAATTATTTACATACTTAAAATATTTATGTATTAATTATTAAATTAGTTATTTACTTATCTAAATATATGCACTGTTTACAACTAAAATGACAGAGGGTTATCATTAGAAATAAAAGAAAAAATCAAATATGTTTTCAAAAAAACCCTAAAATCCTACAGTCCAAAGATAACTCTTAGTCTTATAGGAGGTCTTAAGAGTGACATAAGAGACTATGAAGTAACAAAACGCATTAAAAGTTTTCTAGAATCTTGCATTTACCAAATTCCTAGAAATCTGGTAAAAGGTACATTTCAAACTAGTAAATTTTTTACTTTTGTGTTTTGTGTTCTTCAATAAATTTTGTTTATACATCTGGCTACTATTTTGAGGGGAAACAGTTTGTTCTCACTGTTTATACCTACCTAATTTCAAACATATTAAAGATTTCTTTTTTAAAAAATAAAGCAAAACTATAATTTTACTTTAACAAAATATGTTAGTGTTCTAAAATCTTGGTTTTAGAAGGTCTTTTAAAATTTGTCAGAAGACCAGACTTAAAAAACAAACAACAAATTTGGCTAAATATAATAGAAAAACTTCAGTATATCGAAAAGAGAAACAAAATGTTATTCACGGACAAAATTACAAGAGAAAAGAATAGGAAGAAATGACAACACACGATAAATAATTGATTTTGTAATATTGTAAAGTGCTTACTCTTAAAAATTAATAAAAATAAGATAGAAAGTACAATAGAAGAATAGTATCTAGACAAACACTTCTTCACAAAAGGGCCAAATAACATGGGATTTGTATTCAAAGTATTGACAAGTACATATGTCACTAATAAAGAATTTATAGTATATATTTGATTAGTTATTCTAGAAAAATTCAGACAATCAGCAAATGGAATGAATTTTATTGTCAATAAGTCATGGAAATTCAGTTGCAACACAGGCTTTGTGTTCAAAGTACCGATAAGTGGATACTTCACTAACAAAGAATCTATAGTATATGTTTTATTAGTATTCTAGAATAATTTAGACAATCAGCAAATGGAATGAATCTTGTCATCAACAAGCCATAGAAATTCAGTTGCCTAATTTTTCTAGTTTATGTTATACTGAGCCTGCATGTGATCTCTCCACCTGGAGGAGGGACAGGATAAGACCAGCAGTATCCCACATGGAAGTCCAATAATGTTTTGGAATTCTCTACATCTCATATGGAAACAGTGCTTTATTTACATTAATGAATGTATTTGTGATTTAATATGGAAATAAATGAGTGATCAGAGTTGTTCAATATGTAATATTTAAATATACTTTTGTGATTGATAGTTATGCCTCAATCACTATGAAACTCAGACTATTATTAAAAAGAACCTTACCCTCTTTCTTAGCACTAAATTCAGGCTCTTGTAGATCTTTTGCAATCTCTGCTTTAAGATCAGGTGGTGCTGTGGCATTAAAGTTACAGGTTTCGGTCAAAAAATCCCAAAGCAGCTCCCCATTTTCATTCCCATCAATAAAGCAGTCAGATATGTCCATGGTGGACAAAAAGTCGTAGCACTCATACTTAAGCCCTAGGTTGTCCAGCATCTGAGTGAGATGAGATGATGTGATATACAGGCAGAGGTCATCCCTGGGTAAGCGTGATCCGTATTTTTCCCACAGCTTGGCCCAGCCACTGCTTCCTGTGCAATAGAACAAAATTCATGCTTTCAATTATTCTTTCTTTCATTTGCAGTCTGCCAGGAAGTACACTAGATGCTTAGGATAGAATGGTGAACAACATAATAATCTTGTTCTATGTGGAGCTCACATTTCAAGGAGTACGGGAGGAAAGAGAAAATTAAATAAGTAAATATTTGGTGATAAGTGCTAAATGAAAAACTAATCTGAATAAGTGCTAAGAGGGTTAAAGACTTGATGCGCTGCTGCTTTAACTAGGGTGATCACAGAGTCTCTCTAATAACCTGACATTTCAGCAGAGACCTAACTTCAAGCAATGTAGATATTAGAGGGAAGATGACTCCAGGAGAGAGATTAGCAGCTGCAAAGGACCTGAAGCAGGAATATGTTTGGCCAATCAAGAACTAGCCAGGAAGCCAGTGAAACTGGAAGTGAATAAGTGAGGGCAGAAGGGAAGGAGATTAGGTTGGAGGGGTCAGAGATGGGGAGTGGATGAGGTGCCAGATCCGTGAAGCTCAATGGAAGACCACTGTGGTGCTGTCTTATAGAACTTTCTGAACCAATGGACACATTCTACATCTGCATTGTCCAGCGGGATTGTCACTCACCAGTTGTTGCTGTGGAGCACTTGAAAGCTGTCTTAGGACCTGAGTTTCCAGTGTGACTGAAGACCTAAATTGTAAGTTTCATTTCATTTTAATTAACTTCAGTTTCAATTTCACTACCAAAATGTGATTTCTGTATGGAACAGCACATTAGGGTGACTTAATACACATTTAATAAGGTCAGCCGGGCCATACAAATGAGAAGAGAGTACTGGAGCATAAGAGCAGAGGTGGGGAGAACTGCCAGAAGGCTACTGGAATCACCTGGGGACAGATGGGGGCAGGGTGGGGGCTATGATAGACCAGTGAGCTGGGAGGTAAAGAGAAGTGGTAGGAGTTTTTATGTAATATACTCCTAGATCCAACAGGGCTTGCCAACAATTTGGATATAGGTTATGGGCAAAAGGAAAGAGTCAGAGTAATGATTGCAGTGATTTCTGCCTGGGCACCTGAGAAATCAGAATTGCCATTATTGGAGAGGAGAAGAATGAGAGACGAGCAGTTTTGCATCATCAGGCCTCTAGTTTCAGGAATATAGATTTGAGATACCTACTGGACATTCAGGTGGTAATATGAGGAAGGTAGTTGTTAGTCTGCAATTCAGACAAGAGTCTTTAAGAGTAAAAATTAAAATGGAAAGAAAGAGCACAGTAAATGATGATTTATTCAAAGCGATAATTTTTTACTCTCATCCCTATATAAAACGAGATGCTGCTTTGGGCTGACAATAACTAGGTGGATTTCTATAAATCTTGTCCCCAAGTTTAGAAGACATTTTAGCAATGTTTGTAGTATTTAATTGAAAATCTAGCCCTGCAGAGAAGCTAAGAAAAACCTTATCTGAGGGAGACAGACATGAGCTGAACTCTTCTTCTGCTGCTTTATGAATGAGATGAGACTTGTTGTCTAGCCTCTCAGAACTTCGATTTTCTCATCTGTAAAATGGAGATTATCATACTTATCTTGAATGCAACCAAAAGCATTACACGAGATAATTTAAGTGAATTATTGCATAATGGTAAGCACGTGAAAGATGTGTAATAAGTGCTTATAAGATAAATGAATTAGTTTGCTAGTGTATTTCCACTGATTGTAATCTTGAGACTAAAAGAGCAAACCTTGCTATTCAAAAATATATAATAATAGGCCGGGCGTGGTGGCTCACGCCTGTAATCCCAGCACTTTGGGAGGCCGAGGTGGGTGGATCACGAGGTCAAGAGATCGAGACCATCCTGGTCAACATGGTGGAACACCATCTCTACTAAAAATACAAAAAATTAGCTGGGCATGGTGGTGCACGTGCCTGTAATCCCAGCTACTCAGGAGGCTGAGGCAGGAGAATCACTTGAATCCGGAAGGCGGAGGTTGCAGTGAGCCGAGATGGTGCCATTGCACTCCAGCCTGGGTAACAAGAATGAAACTGTCTCAAAAAAAAAAAAAAAAAAAATACATATATATATATATATATAAAATGAGAGTTTATACTTATGGGCCTTCTAATAATATATGCATATTATATACACAGTGAGTAGAGGGAAGTAATAAAGAGCATGGTCTTTAAAACCCAACTGCCTGAGTATGAAGCCTGGCTTTCCCTCTTACCAACTTTATGAACCCATGTCTCAGTTTTATCATCTGTTAAACAGGGGTGATAATATAATAAATTCATAGACTGCTACAAGGATTAATTGAGTTAGTAAAGTAAAGGCCCTTCGAACCATGACACATTAGTTAATGTTGCTCAAGTGTTAAACTGGACTTGGCAAAAGCAATATAAGAGGCAACCTATACTTTCTATGTGCTCGTAGGATTAAATGTCTTGAGGTTTTTTCTGGTTCCCAAGTCCCCTTTATGGTCTAAGGAGAGTAACTGACTCTCCAGAAAAATACACAATACATATCCACACAGTTCTGAATGTGATTATAGAATGCTCAAAGACCCTTGGCTTTCATCCACAGATTAAGCTAAATTTCCCAGATTAATTCAACCCAAGAGATTATCTAAGACAGATAATAGGCTAAGTAATAAATAGCCTAAGACAGCTGATGTGCTACTACTATGTCAGAAGAGGGAGAGCTAACTGCAGGATATGCTCTAGGAGAAGGTGGAATTGGAATGAAGAGAAAGAATAAAACCTCTGTTCAATGAAAGTAAATGAGGGTTGTATTTATTAAAAAATCTTTCATTCCAAAGACAGTGGATTGTCTTCCCAAATAAGAGTTTGCCAGCAAACAAGACATTACAAGAAAATAAGCATTTCAGTGGTTGAAGAGAGGCTCTGTTATCATCATCATTATTATTTTTAACCTAGCAGAGAAAAAGGAACCAAATACTAATGGCAGAAAATTTGCTGGTGTCAGTGCTGTGACTCGGTGCCATTTCTGAGCTGAGCAATTACGCACTCCCTGACTGATGCATTATCATAATGGCTCTCGGTGGGCACAACATATGGTGTTACTTTTGTTTTCAACATAATATAAACCAGATTCTTTTTTCTCACTGCACTAAAAATAACACACAATGATTTGCCTTCTTCCTTAGTCAGGTAAGGAGAAGACAAGACAGAAAGCGTTAGCGATCTCCTTCTGGCTCATCTCCCTTAACCTGACAGGCCACCTTTTAAATAGCAATGCTCCCAGCAATGCTAGGCTACAACATTTGCAGAAAAAAACATTTCTTTGACATCATTTTAGTGTGGGATATTCCACGTTTACTTAAGAAATCCAACTCTCTTGTTCTTATGTCTCTTCTTTATTATCCCCAAATCAAATGTCTTTCATCTCCATTATCAGGAACTTCTGCTAGTTATCACTAAATGACTATCTCTTGAGTTGAGGTAGTTCTGTAATGGATATTTAGGAACACAGAGGAAAGGTTGATTTCTGTCAACCAACATGTATTTCAATAGGATGACCTGTAAATGTTGTCATTTAATTCTGATTTCAATTTCGTTTTCTTTCCCTAATAAGTTTTACTTGTTTGTTCTTCACTGCTTTTGTCTGGCTGCTTCCATTTGCAGTGTGTGTGTGTGTGTGTGTGTGTGTGTGTGTGTGTGTGTGTGCCTTTTTTATTGACCTTTTTATTCCTATTTATTAAACTCCATCTGCAAATATCCAGAACTTCCTGTGTTCTCTGATTTCATCAAGTCAGTTTTAGCTGAAATATATTATCTTTTTTTGGATGTATGTTCAGAGCTTATTGTAGTTCTGATATCATAAGGCAGAAATAATAAACAATTATTCAGCTTAATTAAAACATATTTACTGAGTATTGCCTTTGTGCCAAAATCTTTACAAAGATCTAGGAACAGAGATGAGAGACACTCCTCTAAACAAACTCTTCTGAATCTCCCTATATGCCTCCCTATATACCATGAGTACTCAGTTTTGTGCACTGCAGAGCAGTTATGGAGGACAATATTACCCCGAAACAAATGTGCAGGATACTTCTCTTTTAGATAATTATGAGGCAAATTCAATTTAGAAAGTGACCCAAAGAATCTTGATAAAAACAGAAACTAGTGTGAACGAATGTGGTGTAGGTATTCCAAGTTCTAAGACAATATTCAACTTTAGAAAACGTTTCAATCTGTTGAGCAAATGAAAAATGGCATTTCAAGAATTATAGTTCTGGCAGAGAAGGCAAGGTAGGCAATGGTTCCTAAACAGGGGTGACGATGGATGTAGATGGAACACCTCGGCTGATGAGGTTTCTCAAACTTGTTTTCTATTCACAGGCTAGTCTAGCAGATAGGGATTTGAAGTTACATCATTGAAAGAAAACAGTGACTAGTAATTATGTGGATCATTCCTATTTGCCTTCACTGATATCGATATGAGAAAGCCTAATTGAAAATTTCTTGTGACCAAATTTGTTCCCAATGTTGGAAACTAGACTTGATCTATTTTTCCAAAAGCCGACCAACATATTTGTATTGGGTATGTTAATATAACAAAGCAATTATTGCTATTTTTTAAAATAGAAACCTACAGTCACCTTCATATATCAAGGAGGCAAAATAATTTCTCTCAGGGAAATGTGTTGTTGTTAAGACAGGTTCCTGGGTGCACAGGTTTATCTAGATGATAGAAACAGAACAAAAGGGAATTAAACTGCTCTGTAAGAGGGTTGCGGGGTCAACTGGTAATTCTGTTTTTAGCTCTCTGAGAAATTTCCATACTGCTTTCCACAATGGTTGAACCACTTTATACTCTCACCAACAATGTACAAGTGTTCCTTTTCTCCGCAACCTCATCCGCATGTGTTATTTTTTGGCTATTTAATAATTGTCATTCTGACTGACATGAGATGGTATCTCATTGTGGTTTTAATTTGCATTTCTCTAATGATCAGAGATACTGAGCTTCTTTTCAAATGCTCGTTGGTCACATGTATGTCTTCTTCTGAGAAGTGTTTATTCATGTCTTTTGCTTACTTTTTAATGGGGTTGTTTATTTTTCTCTTGTAAATTTGTTTAAGTTCCTTGTAGATGATTTGTCAAATGCATAGTTTGCAAATATTTTCTCCCATTCTGTAGCCTGTTTACTCAGTTGATAGTTTCTTTTGCTGTGCAGAAGCTAGTGAGTTTAATTAGATCCCATTTGCCAATGTTATCATTGCTTTTGGTGTCTTTGTCATGAAATCTTTGCCTGTTCCTGTGTGCAGGATGGTATTGCCTAGCTTGTCTTCCAGGGTGTTTATAGTTTCAGTGTTTATAATTTTTGTATATAGAACAGGAGCCCAGCTTCAGTCTTCTGACTAGAGCTAGTCGGTTATCCCAGCACCATTTATTCAATAGGGATTCTTTTCCCCATTGCTTGTTTTTGTCAGCTTTGTCAAAGATCAGATGGTCCTAGGTGTGTGGCCTTATTTCTAGGCTCTCTATTCTGTTCCATTGGTCTCTGTGCGTGATTTTGCACAGTACCATGCTGTTTGGTTATTGTACCCCCCTGTAGTATAGTTTGCAATCCCACTACTGGGTATATACCCAGAGGAATATTAATCATTCTGTCATAAAGACGCATGCACATAGTGTTCATTGCAGGATTACTCACAGTATCAAAGACATGGAATCAACCTAAATACCCGTCAATGACAGACTGGATAAAGAAAATGTGATACCTATACACCATGGAATACTATGTAGACATAACAAAGAATGAGATCATGTCTTTTGCGGGAACATGGATAGAACCAGAATCTATTGGCTTTAGAAAACTAATACAGAAGCAGAAAACCAAATACTGGATGTAAAGATTGCTGAATACAAGAGATAATAAATGCTGACCTCAACCATGTCAATGTTTCATTATCTAAAAATGTTCACTTGTGTTCTCTGTGTGATACTTACTATATCCCTGTAAGCAACTGGACATGCTCACATGCCTCCTTGGAAAATAAAATACCAAGACAAAACACAAAACAAAACAAAACAAATGAACTGTTTATGATAGGCACTTGAAAAAAACCTATGGTGAGCAGTTGATCATGGCTCTAAGAATGTGAATTAATCAAATATGATGACATCTGAACTATTTAAACTTTTTATATTAATAAACATCACAGAGGGAAAAGTGACATTTAAATGACAAAGTAAAATATTTACTATTTTTAGTCTCATTTAAAAACTTGTGTCAGTTGAATTTGCTCTAAGCTATAAAAAGGAATTCATATATAGAAGACAAAGACATATTTTCCCAAAAGAAAGAATATTTACTTAATTCTAAATTGAGAACTGTTTTGAATGACTTCCTTAGTACTGTGAAAATTAACTGGCAATGATTAGAGGCCAAGGCAAGAATTTCATAGTGAAGACAAAATATGTAAGCTTCCTTCAAACACAGGAATCCATGCATATGTGTACTATTGCTGTTTTAAAATTCGGGGTGAATGAAAATAACTTACCTGACACAAGAATAATGAGCATCTTAGCACTGGTGCCTAAGAGACTATGGAAGAATTTCAGGGTAGCTGGGACATCTTTTACATAATACAGCATCTAGAAAGGAGGAAAAAGAGAAATGAGATGCTTCTCTATGTTGAAGTCTTTATTGCTTGGGCTAGATACTCCTAGAAAATTTGATTTTCTAGTTGAGTGAATTTTTACCCAATAAAACACTTAAGAAATTTATAGATCAAAGACATTGCATGGAGACATAGAACAATAATGTGAGAAAATATTTGGGGAAAGGGAAAAATATGATATTTGTTCGACTAGAGTCAAATGGTTTTAAATTTACTCTTTCTGACTTCCATAACACAGACATTTATAGCTGGAGACACTTAGTCACCATTCCACATGGGGACATGAATCCTATGTCTATTCTATAATACAGGAATTGCAGTTCTTCTGGGAGAAAATGGTTCCAGCACCATAAAAACAGACCCCATTTCATGGAATATTGCTTTATAATTAAGCCCTTTGCACTAGCTTCTCCATATGCTCACAGATGCTTTTTTAAAATCACAGAAAATGTGACAGGCTCCGATGATGACAGATTCTCTAGGAAGCTGGACTAAATAAAGCATGAGGTTATCTTCTTGGACCCAGGGTGTTTAGGGGTCAGTCCACCCATCTTTAATGATTCTGAACCAATCCCTAGTGAAGTACAGGCCTTTCCACCCAACACACAGAGCTTAGACTTATGCATTGGCAGGGGAAATTGTCCCCCATAGCTTGCATCTTTGGACCCCACCCCCATAAACACTTCTTGTATCTCATCTTCATCTTAGTTGGACAAGAATTCAATATTCCATATAGCGCATCCTTACAGAACTCATTGCCTAAAGGAAAAGTACTTTAGCTATGCCTCTTTCGTAAGAATGAATGAAATAAAATGGACCTGACTTGTACATGGCTCATGGTGCCTTAGGGGCCACACTTCACATTTTCCACCAGAGGCACCATGGGCAGGTACCCAAATATAGCGAAGCAATATGATGGCTAACAATCTACGATGTGACCTGGCCAGAAATGCAGAAGTACGCTATAGAAGGTGCCTTAAATTTTTCTCGAAGACAGTGAAATTTTCAGAATTGACAGTGGGGTGGTAAAAGTATCATGAGAGTGTGAGGACTGTAATGAGGAATAGAGAGGCAGAGATGCTGCACAGAAAAGTGGGGCATAGGCAGAGATGAAGAGAGAGGAACAGGATAGTGATGCAGAGGGAGACAGACTTGCTGTAAGAAAGAAGGAACAAACACAGAGGTTTTGAGAGAAATAGGAAAGAGAAGCTGATTCCTGAAATCAAATTTATAACAAAGAATGGGATCCAGTGATAAGCAGAGGGAGTGGTTTTTGATAAGAGGAGATTTTTGCAGTAAGACGGAAGAAGGAGATGATGGCAGAAGTGCAGTTATGTTTGCAAGGTTAGCGGGTGAAAAACGAGCTTCCATCTGATAGTTTCTGTTTTCTCTATACATTATGAAGTGAGGTCATCGTTCACAATGAATGGTCTGGGAGAGATTGCAGGAGTAGTAAGGAGAGAGAGGAATTATGAAATAGTTATGAGAGGAAGTGAGAACAAAAACAAGTCTAGCAGGGAAAGATGTTGGCTTGCTGGACAGTTAGAAGTACTACCTGACAAAAGATTTTATCAGCGAAAGGAGCAGAGACATAAAATTGCCTGCATATGACGAAATTGGAGTATTTCTTCCTTTGACTTCTTGTAAGTTTATTCCTTTGGGTGACTATCATTGTAGACCAGGAAGAAAAATAGTGTTTTATTGTCAATCAAGTAGTATTTTCAAAATAGGCACATCTCCTGATGATAGCCAACTTCCAAAACCCATATATACATCTCTTATGCTATTCAGAAATATTAATTATCTATGGAAATCCAGCCCCATGCTATCGACTCAGTAGTCACTCCCTTTCTATGACATGTATGAGTCAGTTTGTTGGATCTGGATGATGGAAGTAAAAATTTGTTAAACTGAGGCATTACTTAATCTGCCCCTGTGACCATATGTCCACTACAGAAACACTCTGGGACATTGGTCCACACAAACCATTAGAGCCACTACAGAATATGTTATGATGCTATCATTCTCAAATCTATATATAAACATCCAATGGTATAAAAATAAAGACTGGGTGCAGTGGCTCACCCCTGTAATTCCAACACTTTTGGAGGTTGATGTGGGAAGATCACTTGAGCCTAGGATTTCAAGATCAGCCTGGGCAACATAGTAAGACCCTATCTCTACAAAAAATAAAAAAATTAGTTGGCTGTGGTGGTGCACACCTGTGGTCCCAACTAACCAGGAAGCTGGAGTGGGAGGATGGCTTAAGCTCAAGCAGTTGAGGCTACAGTGAGCTATGATCATGCCACCACACTCCAGCCTGGGTGACACAGTGAGACCCCTATCTCAAAAAAGGACATAAGAATTAAGCCAGCATTTTTTCAAATGAATAACTCTAAAGGCATTACAGAAAAGTGGTTTTTTGAATGTTTAAGAGAATCTTAGTATTATAAACATATTTATACTTTATTTGGACATATCATGGTCACTTGTAAAATTAGACATCAGGTGATTTTCATTTTTCTTTTAAAAGTTAGAATAGTAGGCATTCATTATACATATATCTGAAAAGTCTTCTTTCTGAGTATAAATTATAATACATATTTCTTACCTGAATCATATGAATAAAGTCCCACTTTTGAAGCTCCTTTTTCTCCAATATTCTGCTTTGATATTCAGATGATGTCTCCTTATGCCAAGCAAACTTTATGTTCTTGAGGTTTGATGTCTTGGCTACAAGCTCTAAAATACAGAGAAGAGGTGACACACCATCAATTTTAATTGCAAATGTGGAACCCATTTCCATTTAGAATTTTAATGCAATCAATGTTATATACATAACAGATATAAAGCCCATTTTTCTTTTTTATGTCTGCGAGACCAGAGAGTTCATACTGCTTTTTTTTTTTTCCTAGTACTTAATGAAATTAGAGGTGAAAGAAAGAGTCAGTAAGAAATAATTACAAGAACCCTGGGCAGGCATAGGTTATATTGTCTTAGTGTTAATGGAGAATCAACTGGTGAATTTTACCAGTGGAAAGTGAATACGAAACAGATGATGTTTGTATAATTCAGGAGTAGGCAAACCACAGTCTAGGAGATATATGTAGACTGCTACTTATTTTTGTATGAACTGCAAACTAAAATATATATATTGTTCTACTTCCTGATTTTGTGTCACTGCCATTCATATTTCATGTCATTATATTTTTGAATGTTAAAAAAAAAAAGAAGGATGCTATATCATATGTGAAAATATATAAAATTGAAATTTTAGTGTTTACAATTAAGGTTTTATGGAAACACACCCATGCTCATTAGTTTACCTTTTTTTTTCTTTTTTCTGCCAACTAATCAACATGACAGGTTAATTAATTGTGATAGAGACTGGATTGACCTTCTGAGTCTAAAATATTTACTATTTGATCTTTACCAGGAAATGTTTGCCAACTTTTATTGTAACCCACTAAACATAAGATCTTAAAATTGATTTAAATAATTCTGAATCAACTAATGAATCTATACCTAAGCATAAAGATCAAAAAGTTATTGTTAATGACAACTGGGGAATGGATAAAGCATCAATAGAAAAGAGGAGTTTCATTATTCACTGTTCACATTCTGAGATGTTTACCTGCCAAGAGTTAATTCAGTTCTTCTCCCAATAAACTTGTGTAGAGCATACCACAGTAACTCTATTACTGATCATTTAAGTTGATTTGTCATTTGAGTTGATAAGGCTTTTGAGATAGGATCTGGTATAGAACACAAGGAGTTAAAGATACCTTTATACTTGGCAATTTGCTCAGCACTTGGCTCAACAACTTCATTGTTGATACAAACTCCCTGGGTATTGAGACTGAACTTTGGAGAGAATTTGAAGATCAATTTCACCTAGAAGATAAACATATGGGACAGGTCACATCACTCCAGTAAGAAATAATCAAAAACAATTCTAGCTGATTTATTATCTGCCCTACTTTTACTAGGAAAGCCTAGCATAATTAAAGAATTGTCCAACTGCTTCCCTGCCGTGAGGCCTGTAATGTGAAACATTAGGTTCTAAGTAGGCATAGTCATGTGACTCAAGGAGGGCTGTGAGTGCCATTCATTCATTCATATGATCTTTAATATCTATTACTATATTTCATCAAATCAAAGATGCCATTGATTGTAGAAGGAAATTAACCCGTGTTTTTCTTTCACCAAGTTAGGGAAAAAAAAAACTTTCAATTATAATTTTAAGATTTTATCAACTGAAGAACATAACAATATCAGAGGTATTAAAATATGAAAAAAAAATGCATGTTAGAATTGGTAGAGTAAGCTAAGCCGGAAGAATACAAAAAAAAAATGTCAGATTTAAAAAAGGGTACAAGTATATATCAAGTAAAATAAAGAAGAAAAACATGTCAGATATCTGCCCTCATAAACACTATTATCTGTGACACAGACACTGAAACATCCCTGGTTCAATTGAATCAAGGTAAGAAGAGGGAAGAGAACATGTGGGTAGAGAATGAGAGATGAGGCCAGAGTGATGGTGCTTTATCAGGGAAGATCACTTGTGAGCTCTGTCTCTTCCAGGGTAAGTGGGAGTTAGCCCAGAAATTGTGGGGAAGTGAAGATTCTCAGGTATTAGAGACGAGATGACAGACACACAGACTGAAAATAGAGGAGTGTATTCGGAACTACTAGAGTCTGGATTTCTTAGAATATTGAGCAAGGCAGGACCTCCAAGCAAGAGGTGATTCCAGAAAGATATGGAGAGGTGACTGTGAGCAAGGCAGATATTTATTCATTCATTAATTCACCAACTGCTAATTGACTATTTACCGTGATTCAGGCACTGCACTAGGCTCTATGGAATGATTATTATGATTATAAGAAGAGCAGCTAGATCCCTTCTCTGGTGAAAATGCAGCCTGTAAGGAATAGTGTAAGAAAGATGACAATAAGTCAGAAGGACTTGAGTTTTAAACCTGTCTTCTTCACTTACTAGGTATATATGACTTTGGGCAATTTGCTTTACCTCTGCAAGCTTCATATTTTGTATTAGAAAAATAAAAATAATCATAGTAATTTATTAATTGTGAGGGTTAAATGAAGTGATACATATAATGTATAGTGCAAAATAAAGTTGGCACTGATTAAATGTTAGCTGTTCATTATTTTTATTGTTATCTTGAGTCCATCTCTTTGAAAATATCTCTTCTCTCCCTATTGCTGATGCCTCCAACTTAAGTTTTGCACTTTTATTCAATTAGCTTATGATGTTGACCTTCATTAAAATTGAAATACCTCCTGGCAGATTAGCATAGGAAAATGATATCCGTCTTTAACATTTGGCATAAATGACATTAACAGAGCCTTTCCAAGGTTGCACATGGCACACAGCAAAAGCAGAAGTCTCAAGACTGGGAGGTCTGGAAGGAAGAAGATGTGGGAGATAAACCAGGAACAGAAGATGCTAAACTAGGAAAAGAGAGCAGTCCAGGTCATATGAGAGCCCCCAAGTACTGGCAATGGGAGATGAGGTGCATGGTATGTGCGGAGGGAAGAAGGGAGAGTGGGAAGGAGACTGAAATAGAGTATGTCATTTATGTGACAATTTTCTCCAAATCCAGCCCTACCTACATGAAATCATGTATTTCTTCACTGATAACTACAGCTGCCATTTATTTTGGCCACTTACTATTTGCCAAACACTACACCAGGCTCTTTACCTGGAACATCTCATGAATCCTGACAGCAAGTCCCATGATATTATTAATATCCCAACTTGATTAGTTGACTTGAGTATGTTGACATTCAAGGGATATTCATATACCTGAAGTTTAAGGCACATTTGTCTGAATCTACAATGTTTGTTCTAACGACTTCAACTAAGAAGTAGAAAGATAACAAATACTAAAAAGGCACAAAAAGCCCTTTATTCTTCTGTTCAGCAACGATTTTGCAGGGAAAAAAATATATAACTAAGACAAAATGCTGCTAAGAATAGCTGTGAGCCAATGGGAAATAGATTCCTGCTTGCCCCCAGGAGACCAAAAGTTTCTGTTCTTGCCTCCTATTAGCCTCGCCATACATTTCAAATGAAAAAAATTAGCAATTATGAGGACCTCAAATTCAACATTTTGAAAAAGATAACTGAAATGCAATTATATCCCCTCAGGGCTTGATGAGCTCTCCTCCAAAGATGGACCTAGACATTTCAGGTCGGCCTGGCTGGCACAATGTATCTAGCACACTCTGGGACATGTTCAGAGCCAGGCAGTCCCGCCGCCTGGGGCACTGATAGAGGACACAATGCTACAATCACATAACAGCCTCTAGCATGTATGCCCACGTGTGCTGGATTCCTAGCAAAAATCAATTAAGTTTAAGAAGAGGCAATAATGCAACTATTTCCTTAAGAGTCAATTAGAATGTAAAATCTATTTCTGACCTCATACATAGAATGACCATACTTGTTCGTCAGGGACATTTTCATTTTATACCTGTTGCCTTACTGTCCATCTGCTTTGGTTTTTTTGGTCCTAACTTGTTCATTTTTAATCAAATATCATTAGAATTTTAGTTTTGAAAGTAGTTTTTAAAAAGAACTATTTCATTAATTTACTAATGTGAGAAACTTGCTCAATACGTATGAATTTCAAAAACTGCAATTTTCATTGTTTTACCTACTCTCTCCAACTCATTCTCAAAAGTATCCTACATTGGACAATAAATAATACCACTGTGCTCATAAGGCACTTATAGTCTGTGCTTTTTAAAAAATTTCTTCTAAAAAAGAATGGGATACATGTGCAGAACATGCAGGTTTGTTACATAGGTAATGTGTGTCACGGTTGTTTGCCGCACCTATTGACCTGTCTTCTATGTTCCCTCCTTTCACCACCCACCCACCAACAGGCCCTTGTGTGTGTTGTTGCCCTCTCTGTATCCATGTGCTCTCATTGTTAAGCTCCCATGTATGAGTGTGAACATGCGGTATTTGGTTTTCTGTTCCTGGTAGTTTGCTGAGGATGATGGCTTCCAGCTTCATCCATGTCCCTGCAAAGGACGTAATCTCATTCCTTTTTATGGCTGCATAGTATACCATGGTGTATATGAACCACATTTTCTTTATCCAGTTTATCACTGATGTCCATTTGGGTTGTTTGCATGTCTTTGATACTGTAAATAGTGCTGCAATAAACATACATGTGCATGTGTCTTTATAGTAGAATGCATTACATTCCTTTGGGTATTTATACTCAGAAATGGGAGTGCTAGGTCAAATAGTATTTCCGATTCTAAATTCTTGAAGAATTGTCATACTGTCTTCCACAATGGTTGAATTACTTTATATTCCCACCAACATTGTAAAAGTGTTTCTGTTTCTCCACAGCCTCTTCAGCATCTATTTTTTCCTGATGTGTTAATAACTGCCATTCTGACTGCGGTGAGATGGTATCTTATTGTGGTTTTGATTTGCAGTTCTCTGATGATCAGTGATATTGAGGGCTTTTTTCATATATGTTTGTTGGCCACATAAATGTCTTCATTTGAGAAGTGTCTGTTCATATCCTTTGCCCACTTTTTGATTTTTTTTTCTTATAAATTTGTTTAAGTTACTTGTAAATTCTGGATATTAGACCTTTGTCAGATGGGTAGATTGCAGAAATTTTATCCCATTCCATAGGTTGCCTGCTCACTCTGATGATAGTTTCTTTTTTTTTTTTTTAGAAAGGATGTATAGGATTGTTGTTGAATGTTTTTTTTTTTTTTTTTTTACAAATATTTGTTTGAATACCTGTTTTCAATTATTTTGGGTGTATATCTAGGAATGGGATTGCTACATTTTTTTTTTTAAAGAATAAAGAAGAGGAAGAAAGAGAAAGAGGAAGAGGGAGAGAGGATGGGGGTATTGCTTTATTGCCCGGGCTAGAATGCAGTCTAAATATGGGTATGCCTATAATTGTCCTTAATAATGGAGACATGAAAGAAAATGAGGGAAGAGAATAGCAAACAAGGAGCCAACCAAGATTTCTTTTAAACTTCTAAGTTGATATGATGTGGTACTGATAAGAGTGTATATTTTGTATATTTAAAGTGGAGAGTTCTATAAATGTTAATTACATTTACTTGTTCCAGATCTGAGTTCAAGTCCTGAATATCGTTGTTAATTTTCTGTCTCATTGATCTGTCTAATATTAATGTCGAAGTCTCCCACTATTATTGTGTGGGAGTCTAAATCTCTTTATGTCTTGTATGTCTGGGTATTCCTGTATTGGGTGCGTATATATTTAGGATCTTTAGCTCTTCTTGTTGTTGCATTGATCCTTTTATCATTATATAATGTCCTTCTTTGCTTCTTTTGATCTTTGTTGCTTAATTGTAACTTCTGCTTTTTATTTATTTATTTTAGCTCTCTGTTTGGTTGGTAAATCTTTCTCCATCCCTTGTTTGGAGTCTTTGTGTATCCTTGAATGTGAGATGGATCTGGATGCAGCATACTGATGGGTCTTAGTTTTTTATTCAAATTGCCTGTCTTTGGATTGGGGGATTTAGTCAATTTAAATTTAGAATTAATAATAATATATGTGAGTTTAATACTGCCATTATCTGGCTATTTTGTCCATTAGTTGATGTATATTCTTCATTATATTGATGCTCTTTTTGATAATATTTTTAGAAAGGCTGATACTGTTTGTTCCTTTCTATGTGTAGTGGTTCTTTCAGAAGCTCTTGTAAAGCAGGCCTGGTGGTGATGAAATCTCTGAGTGCTTGCTTATTCACAAAAAACTTTATTTTTCCTTCACTTGTGAAGCTTAGTTTGGCTGGATGTGAAATTCTGGGTTGAAAGTTCTTTTCTTTAAGGATGTTGAATATTGGCCCCCACTCTCTTC